TCAACATTGTATGATTTACTCGTATAATAATCTTAATAAAGGATCACTAGCAAGACAGCCAAAGTGAAAAAAAAAAAAAAAAAAATTATTTCGAATTATTTTGAAATTTCTTATATAATATTTTGAAATATCTTACAAAATATTTCGTAATTTTTATATTTCGTATGATTTCAAAATATATTACATAATATTAGTTTTTTTACGGTTCATAAATTATTTCGAAATATTTCGATCTATTAAATTTGCTAATATATAAATCCACCTTAATATTAATAAATGATGAGCTAAATAAAGATGATAAAAAGTCACAACCAAACACTTCTAACTGAACCTGATTGTCTGTCACGATCAAATTCGATATCTCTTTCACAAGATGAACTTGATGAGTGTTTGGTACATATATATAATCAGTGGATTTATGATTTTTTTTTTTTTTCAGTTCTTTTCATTTTTTTCATTTTTTTCAATTTTTTTTATTTTATTTTTTTTTATTTTTTTTAAAATTATTTTTTACATTATGTGTTACTTGTATTTTAACAAATGTAATTTTGTAATTTGTGCTATTTTGTATTTTATTATAAGTAACAATTGTAACAAAATGTTTATTAATAAAACTACATTAATAAATTTGATATTTTGATTGAAATTTGTATAATATATAAAATTTGATTTGCAAATGAATCGTGTGACTATATGTTAATATTATATAGTATATTCGATATATATCATTAATTATCGATTGCTATATAAATCATTAGTTATTGATTGCTATATAACAGGCTATATATCATTTATATTCTTAATTGATTTATATCATTTCATAATTAACTAAATGTTTATCGATATATATTATAATCGATGATAATCAGCAGAAAAGATTAAAATCAATATATATCCTTGGGGCTAGTAATCAATATATATCTATATATAAATTTTGTTGATATAAGTCAGCCTAAATGTAGGTATGGAAGGCTCTAGCAGATTTACCTCAAGGTCAAAGAACTCCCTAAAATGATTGAATCCACTTTAAAACCCTAAGCCAGTATATAAAAATAAGGTGATACTAAGTATCATCACTTGGATATAAAAGGGTTGGTACATAGGCACAGAGAGTTTAAATGGGTACACCCTCAGCGGGGTGCAGATACAGCATCTAGTGTAAAACCTAGTGATAGGCAGATACTTAAATAGGCGCTCAAAAGGCGCAGATATGGCTAGTTGTACTCTACAAATATGTACAGCCGTCGGAATGTGTCTGACGATTAAAAATACTACTAATATTCGAATAAAGAGCAGCGTGGTAAAGAGGTCACCTTAACATTAAAAAAAAAAAAAAGAAAAAAAGATGTACTTTAAACTCTTAGTCTCTGAACGTCAATACAATGCTATCACAACGAAAATAATCGCAGTAACCTATTTTGACAGCCAACCTGAAATATAATTGGCTAATCAACAGGAGTCGGGCCGCTATTTTTTTTTTTTCAAGCATGACATTAATTATCATTAAAAATAATAAAGGCAAAAATTACTATTGTAAATTATTTATTATTCTGAGCATGAAGTTATTTGCATTTAAGAGCCACACGAGTAACGTAAAATAACTAATAAAACAATTGACAATTATTACGAAACTCGGATTGTGAAAAATGTGCGTATTGTAGAGAATATAACACGAGTTATACATAGTAACTATTTAATAATCGAATAAGTTCAATCACTTATCAACCGACCATATTCAAAAAATTTTTTGTGATTGGTCATGATCAAACAAATCAAATGATCGATCATAATATCTAATGTCTTTCAGATAGAGCTACTGTAATTGTGTCTATCACATCCTTTAATTCGTTTTCAAGATCTAATAATACACCTTTCGTTATAGACTTTATGTTAAAAATCTCAAACTGTAGACAAAAGAATATTTCACTATTTAAAAGAATAAAACAGCCTCACCAGTATTTGCATTGGCATCAGCAATTAAAGTAGTTATCAAGGGTGAATGATTAAATTGTACAATTTGATAAAGTTCATACAAACTGACAATTGATTTGTTTTTTTTTAACCCTAATTTGGATGCCTTGTTTTTATCGCAAGTTTTAAAATATGCAAATGATTAGACCAATTATTCTGACATCAATAATTAATTATTAATTATATGGGAAATATACTTGTTCACTAATTGCCGCAAAGGTTGTCGATATTGCGGGCTCAAGCATTCCTGCTGACATATCTTCTAATACGGCTAATCAAGCAATGAAGGTCGAGAGATCAGTTGTCAAGAACGGAATCACCGAACGAGCACAGAATGTGCTATAAGAATTTAGAATTACATTTTATTAATATAACACCATCCTGATCGGTTATTGTGATCGCTTTCAACCCATCTATCCTATTATACAAGTAAGATAAACTTTAACAAGCTATGTAGTCAAAAAAAAAAATAAATAATAAAATAAAAAAGAAGGTTTAATAAGTAAAACATGCCTTAAAAGCAGTTTGTCAAAATATGATTGTAATTCCTTGCAGTATAACGTGTAATATTTAGGCAATGTTAGAAGGAAAAACAAAAAAGAAACAACGATTACGGTGGTTTGAATATTTACGTAAAGTAACGTAATACCTCACCCATTCTTTGCTTCTTATTGAGGGAATGAAACAAGTGAAATGATACAAGTACAAATAAGAACAATTATTGATATTAGATATTAGATTAGATATAAAAAACATGGATGTCGTCAATAGAAATCAAGCAGATTTATTAGATAAATCTGCTTGATATCTATTGATGGCAGCACATATAACCACATTAGGTAACGGTAACCAATTAATATGTCAATATATACGTTTTAACATCTGTCTCATCACTTTAATGACATATTCGAGGAAATTACGGATAACCGTCCCTTGTTCCTCTGCGAACGTTGGACCTGGATTTGATGCGCTTGGAGTAACATTGTCATTATATCTTACACTTGACATTAGTATATTAGAACGAACCTCCGATAAGAAAATTTATAATGATGAGGTAATTTTAACGTATTCCGGTGAGGGTAAAGATGGTGTTCCCCTTTCCGTCGAAAAAAATCTAATTACGAAATCAGCACTTTATGTTCTCGCCTGTAACAACATTCCTGGTTTTACTGTTCCAATGAACATTAATATTAATAACCCAATTCCGATGGGTCGTGGTCTAGGCTCTTCAGGTGCTGCAGTTGTGGCTGGCGTTATGTTAGGCAATGCCTCCGGAAATTTAGGTTTAACTAAGGAGCGCATGCTTGATTATTGCTTGATGATAGAACGTCATCCTGACAATGTTACAGCTGCTTTAATGGGTGGATTTGTGGCTTCGTACTTAAGGGAGTTAAATACGGATGATACAGGGATTCCACATTCGGAAGAATTAGATGAAAGGAATGATACGATAAATAAAATTTCGGCACAAATTGTACCTGAAAGAATAGGACATTATATTAAATTAAATTGGGTCAAAGAAATTAAAGCAATTACTATTATTCCACAATTTGAAGTTTCTACCGCCAAAGCCAGAGAAATATTACCGAGCAAATATAATAAACGCGACGTGGTAAAAAAATTTTTTTTTTTTTTATACAAAGGCACAAATACACATTGAATCGAATTTAACATTAACCCACTTTCACTTAATTGATCAAACTATAAGGTTTTTAATTTACAAAGGTTAGCAGTTTTAATAATGGCATTATCTCAATCACCACCGGATGCGGATTTAATATGTCAAGCTATGCAAGATAAAGTTCATCAACCATATCGTAAACAACTGGTAGGAAATCTATTAGTAATATATAGAAATTAAAAATTCTCATGAACGCTAATAATTTGCATTTTTAGATTCCTGGCCTTTCCGAAATAATCACTAATGTGACACCAACCACACACCCAGGCCTTTTAGGAATATGCCTGAGTGGGGCTGGACCTACAATATTGGCACTCGCAACGCACAACTTCGATAATATCTCAAAAACTGTAATAGACATGTTTGCTGAGAGAAATATTGAGACGGTTGTGAAAGTATTAGATGTTGTCGATGATGGGGCTCAGATCGTGGAAACGTATTAGCATAATATAAATAAAATAATGCATATAGATAATATTAGATTTGTTTTAGTGCTCCAAATCAGTTATCGTTCTTGAAGCATGATAAGAACCCTAATAAAGATATTATTTATGAATTAATTATCTAAAAGATCTAATAGAATACCTAATAGAATCTAATATATATATATGTATATTATATATATTATATGCACATTATTGTTATCTAAATATAAACATGACTCATTTGCTCTTGAATAATCTCATAAATCGTCTTTAACTCCAAAACCTGGACCCGTAGGTTCACTTGTCAAGGTGGTGTATCCACTTTTTGGCTCGCACGTATGACGACCGGTTGTTGGACCAGGCTTGGGAGGTTTACCAGATCTAAAAGCATCAAGAAGTTTAATTGTAGTTTCTGGTGTTAAATCCTCCTGAAAATATTTATACATTATTAATATTCATTGGATAAAAGTTTAAGACTATATAAAATATATAAAATATATAACTCACATAATAATCATCATTAACTGCCAAAACTGGAGCATTAACACAAGCTCCTGCACATTCTACCTCTACAAGCGTAAAAAGTTTATCTGGGGTGGTTTCACCGACTTTTATTTTTAAATGGTTTTCAATTATTTTTAGAATTTCTGTTGATCCACACAATTGACATGGTGTTGTTGTACAAAGTTGAAGGAAATATTTCCCAACTGGTTCTCTAAAATAAAGTATAATAATAATTAATTGGATCAAATTCCCAAGAAGTTTGCTTTACGATAAAAATACCTATTAAACATAGTGTAAAAAGTCGCAACTTCATATACGCGCATAGGTGGTATTTCCAATAACTTGGCAACAGCGTTCATAACCGAAAGACTTGTCCATCCGAGCTGACGTTGACCAAGATCTAATAAAGGTATAACAGCTGCTTTTTTATATTGTGGTGGATACCGCTTTATGATCTCTTGTGCACGCTTTAAATTGTCTGCTGTAAATTCGAACGGAATTGATGGATTATTCTCGGGCGTATCTCGATGCTTTATTAAAGGTATAAACCAATCATTAAAAAAAAAAAAAAAAGACTTAAAAAAGTAATAAGTATTCAAATTTTTTAACATACAACGAATAATTTATCAGATTTAATTGTTGATGAGACATTTAAAAATTTCTTTGGAAAAATTCTCGTGCTCACAAAAGGCTTATTCGTGATCAATCTAACGGAAGCTCTTGCAACATTTATTAAAGGCATATTAATGTTTAAGGATTAATATCGATACATCAATAGATCAAAAATCTTTAATCCCAATGCAGATATTGATATGTGATAATAATCTAGTGTAACGTAGATCTCTAAATAAAATTCAAGAATAGATGTGATGTTCCTACGTATTTCAGATGTACTAACGCAAAATATTATAATAAAAGGAGTCGCTTTTACACAAGACCAATGAATTCACGATATTCATGATATTAAGAATTTTAGTTATATCCCGATACATGTATTTTCTCACATTATTTTGAAATAAAGTTACAAAAATGTTAATATATATTATATATAAAATAATAATAATAATGCAAGAAATCTTTCAAAGATATTAAGACAAAGGAACTAAGTCTGGTTATTTATGAATCCACGATTATTATTAACATATGTAATAATGAGGAAACAAAAATAATCAATTTTGTAAAATTTAGTTATTTCATATAAAGGATCCCTGACATGAAGAATGATGCATTAAAATTGAAAAAATCATTAGGAAAGAGAGAAGTAATATAATATTATTCTTTTATGACAGATCACCCAATAATTATCTTGAAATAATTGTCTTGAAAACTTTACTCGTTCTAGTTCTTCTTGCCTTCATCACCTTTATGATTGAGAACAATTGGCACTATAAAAGAAAAATGTAAATACATTGGTTAATTTAGAAAATTTATCACTTTGCCTCAACTCGTAAAAAGTCCCGAATATACACAATCCGTAAGCGTTAAGAATAATAATAATAATAATACTCACAGATAATAGCTAGCAGCAAAGCGATTACTACAAGTGCAATGATAATTCTCATTTTCATATCCTTCCACCACATTTGCTTGCGCACTCGATTGGCACCACGACGAAATCCTTGTGCTGACACGGATAAATTTTCTATTCACAGGGGAAGAATAATAACAATAATGTTATTTATTAATGTTCTACTAAAGAACCTGGCCTTACTGACCCAATGTTATATATACAAACCCGTCTTATCTTGTAAAGCGTCTAGTCTCTCTCCTCTTTCGGCTACACGATTGATATTGTCTCGCATAATGCCAACTGTTTCATCAATTTGCTTTTGAATCTGTGCTGTTTTACTTGGCGGTCCGCCAGCGGTGCCATCTTTTGGTACATAAGGATCATAAGCTTCACCTGTAGCCGACCTATATTTAGGTTATTATCAAATTTTTGTTAGTCCTTCATTGTCCGAATTCTTTCATGCTTTGTATAATAACTTTTTAAAGGTAAACGAAAGTTAAATTTCTAAGCATCTCAAGACAATTTTATGATTAAGTATATGTACTTTTATGTTTATAAAATAAATTTTTTGCCGTCAAGAAGATAAATAAATAGTTTCAATTCTAATATATTCACTTTACAGAAATTAAAGACCTACATTTTTATTATCTTTAAATTGGTCGTTGATGGTTGTGTAATTTGCGAGTTATAAAGCAACTTCTGTCTTAGCTTTTTTCAAAAAAGAGAGAGGCAAAAGTCGGACTGAGGACAGAGTTATTTTATCTGAATTGTATAACGATAACCGTATTTGTCACTCAACTTATATGGACGGCTTTTTAATCATTCTAATCATTTCATCATTTTTAGCCGTCAACCATTCACGTGATCAAAGTCATTAAAGAAAAACTCGTTTCATTTATTATTTAAATTATAAAACGCATAATACGAAACCCGATTGCGTACGTATGTACGTACGTACGTACATACGTACATACTTTCTTTTCTATATTGTATTCTGGTCCGATTTCAGGCCCAGAATCCGTGTTTGGAATTTTGTGCTAACAAAAAACGTAAACTTAATCCGAAAATCCGAAATTTATTTGTCACAAAAAATATATGTGGTACGAATTGTATGTCTAAGGTTACATGTAACTTAATTGCTATTTTTAAATTATTTATATTGATAAGCTTTAGTCTATTTTGTTTTTAGTCTATTTTTATAAGAGTTTGTCGCTTATTTCTTAATATATATCGATATGATCTTAAATAAAAAATTAAAAAGGTTAAATCTTTATTTTATCTATAAATCGTTTTTTTCTACGTAGCTTGATTGTTACGTACGTACAGTAGGATTTTTTTAGTTTGTAAGCTATTTTAGACAATTTTGTTTAAAATTTTGTTATAGAAAATTTATTAGTTTACACAGTGTTTATACACGGGTATAATTTATTGAAGGCAATTTCTATTTGTACACGGGTGTTTGTACACGGGCAATATAGGTATCTCAAATTTTGATTATGAAACCACCTTTTGACTTTTAACAAAAAATTCCTTGCGAACTTTTGGTATAAACTATACTTTGCCCAATCCCAAACCCACCCTTACCCTAACCATAAGCGAGGGTTTAGTTTTCGTTTGTAAAAATTGGTTTAATTAATATGTTACACGAATATGCAATCCAATACATTATACCCGTGTATAAACACTATGTACATTAATAAATTTTCTAATATAAATTTAATATTATTAAAAAAAGAATTTACACGTAGTCTTTATACACGAGTATAATTATTAAATTACAGATTTGTGTAATATGCCAATCAAAACAATGTTCACAAATGAAAAATTAAACTCTTGTTTATAGTTAGAGTAAGAGTATATTTGGGATTGGGTGAGATATAGCCTATATCAAAATTTCACAATGTATTTTTTTGTTAGAAGTCAAAGGTAATTTTATAATCAATATTTTGAAATATTTATATTACCCATGTATATACTGTACATTCTATATACAAATAGAAATTCTCAAAAAAAAATTAATTAATTTTTATATTATAGTATAAATTTTATAATACTGTAGATAAAATTTTTTTAATAATCATTTAGTTAATTTTTTTTTAAATCTTTAGCAACCTTGCTAGTGATTCTTTATTAAAATTATTATATAAATAAATTATATAATATTGAGCTTAATATTTAGGCTTAACATCTTTTAGTTATTTTGTAGATGCTCAAAAGCAGTCTGTGACACTAGCTTGAAGTTTAACTTTATAACTAGAAAATTAATATCAAGTTAGCTATACAAGCTATACTAGAAGAGCTTATAATTATTTTGAATTAATTTTCTAAAATTATTTTATCAACTATTTGTTATATTTTTAAAACTTACTATTTTTTTTATTTTTTTTTTATACAAAGGCACAAATACACATTGAATCGAATTTAACATTAACCCACTTTCAC